GCCACAGGGTGGGGGTAGGAAGAGGCAGATGGGTGGACGTTAAGCCCCCGGGGTCCCGAATAACAGAATTTTGGGAGCCCTATGCAGCTGCACGTTCTGCATGTGTGCAAGAGCAGCCTGGCTGGAGGGCCACAGGCCAGGGGTCCGCACTTGAAATGTTTTAGGGGGTTGCAAATGAAAAAAAGGTGGAAACCCTCTGCTCCAAGTGGCCGTAGGCACCTCGGCTGGGCTGTGTAATCATCCGTTCCAGCTGATCGTGTATTAACCGACTCCTCATTCATTAACCTTCTATCAACGGTTAATGATCTAGCCCCTCGCAAGAGTCATTTTCCACCCTCCAAACTCATTGTAACTTGTCATCACCTTCCTGAGCGCCCCAGTTCCCAGCAGAGAGCACAGTAATCTAGCGAAGCCAGGACTGCCACCTCCAGCGCGGAGCCTCTCTCAGGATTGCTCTGAGTCAGGCAAAGACTTTCCCCTTTATCCCACCCGTAAAGGCCTCCCCAGATTCCTGGCAGGTGTTGAACATCCAGATGCCTGCAACTCAGGCAAGTGGTGCTCATCAGAGAGGAGCCTTTGATGCTTCATTGGGTCAGGGTCCTTTACGCTCTCTGCTCTGGCTTTGCAAGGAGCCCGCTGCCTTAACCCGGCGCTGGGTATCGCTTTTGCATCAGGTGAGCGATGCCAGTTAGGGCTGTGAGTTTTAGTTCGACCGGTATAATTAGACCAGGACTGCCTGGGATGGTTAGACCAGGACTGGTGTGAGGGACCTGCATAATGAATTCCCTTTCTCTGCAGGACTAGCCAGCCCAGTACAAAGTGCCTTTCTCCCCGCATAGCTGCATTCACACTGCGAGGGTAGGGGGGAGAGTTGTATCGCTTTGCTTAGTCTGGCATAAAGTGGGACCATCGCTGTGTGGACAAAACCTCGGGGTGAGTAGCAACTGGCCCCCAGGGTGCTCATTCTAGCGCTGCCGTTTTATGCTGACAACCTGAAAGCACTTGAAGAACAACGGTGCTGGAAACGAAAAACTGCGTGTTGATTTTTTCAAGAGAACACAAACATTTCCTGTCAGCTCTCAAAGGGCGCAGGAGTTCTTGGGACGTGAACCAGCTCAGGCTGCTACAAACTGGGCCCGCCCCAGCCCCCTGAACTTGATGTGAGCAGTGCCACTAATTTCAGCGCCACGCTGGGCCGGATCTTCTGCTGGTGTCAGGTGGTGGAGAGCTCCGCCAGCTTACGCAAGCTGGTCGCTGAGCCACCGGCGTCACTGGAAAGCAGCCAAGTGGCACCTGCCGAAGGTCTGGCCCCACTGACTTCAAGGCGAGAGACACCAGGTGCGGAGTTCTTAGAAAGACACGTGTTGTAACTGGTCCAGCTCTATTCAGACAGACCCAGGCCATCGACTGAACTCAGCAATGAAAGCATGAGTGGGCTGGTGGGTTCTTTAAGAGAGCCACTTGGCCCTGGCGGGTTTTGGGGTGTTCCCAGCTTTGTACCTCCAGAGTCCTCATGAGTGCAAATTAAAAAGTGCCTCTGCAGTACCCCACCGGCTCCTTTCAGTGGCCTGCAGAGTCCATATGCCACGTGCCTTCTAGCCTGGGATGAACAGCTGCAACGAATGCTTGGGCTAGGGGAAGGAGGACACACCTGAGCCCGCAGTGGCTCTGGAGCTCTCCACATGGCCACGCTGGGCCTCCCATGTCCACACAGTGATCTTAGAAGTGTAGCGGCCTGCTGCTTTCCCACGGCCGGTGTGGCTGCCTGCAATCAGTCCCATGCCAGGGACAGTCGTTCATGGTTTCTTCCTGGGACTAGAGCAGGGAAATGAGAAATTCAGAGATGCACAATTCATCCCCTGCGTCCCGCTTCCACCGGCAGTGCCCTCATCAGGCTCTAGCCCTCACTAACAGTATGATGCTGGGGGTGGAGCTAAAGCCGGCGTTTCACCCTGCCCACTTGTCTTACTTCCCCCTTGTGTCCAATCAACCTGTGGAACTCCTTGCTAGGGGATATTTGAAGTCCAGGACCTTAGATAGAACTAGACAAATCCATGGGGGTTAGGTCCATCAATGGCTACTATCCAGGATAGGCAGGGATGGTGTCCCTGGTCTGTTTGACAGAGGCTGGGAATGGGTGACAGGAGGGATCACTGGATGATCCCTGTTCTGTTCACGCCCTGGGGCACCTGGCACTGGCCACTGTTAGAAAACAGGACACTGGGTTGGATGATTCTTGGGCTGATCCAGTCTGGCCATTCTTATGGGGCAGCAATGCCCCCCCCACAAGGCACAATCAGGTCCCTAATAATAGGGACAGGGCTTGGTCATTAATGGATCATCACCATCAAACCGGTGCTGGCTTTTGCAGCATTGCCATCACTTGTAAATTTTATTCTGTCTGCTGTGTGTATGTGCGCACGCACGTGTGTGCGTGTGTATGTGTGTGCACGTATGGGCGTGTGCATGGGCATGTGTGTGCATGCGCACGTGGGGTGTGTGCACACGGGAGTGTGTGTGTGCATGTGTGTATGTGTGTGTGTGCGCGGGAGTGTATGTGCATGTGTATGTGTGTGCATGTATGTGCGTGTGCATGCGGGTGTGTGTGTGCATGCGCGCGTGGGTGGTGTCTGCACGTGGGAGTGTGTGTGCGCGCGCGCATGCGTGGGAGTGTGTGCACGCGCGCGGGTGTGTGCACACTGGCGTGTGTGCACGTGTGCGTGCATGGAGGGGTGTGCACGCAGGACTGTGTGCGTGTGCATGTGTGCGTGTATGTCTTTCGTCAACTCCCCACTCCCAGAGTCACATTCTTTGGTCACTGTGGCCATTTTCATTGAGCAAACCGAAGGCAGGTAAATTTCTAGCCCTGTTTGTGGGGCAAAGCTGGAACGGGCAGCGTGACGGTAACCCGACAGGCTCAGCCCACAGCTGGCTAACGGAAGCGCTCCCCATGCGTCACTTTGCAGCATCTCCTGCCCCAGCTTGTGAATTTCTGACCGCGTGGGGGGATGCCATGGCTGACGTGCCGCCTGTGAACCATCGTCTCACGTCTGTGCTAACGCCGTCCCATTGCTCCTTGCAGGCATGAGCTCGGGGTTCAGCGAAACGGTCTACGGCAGCCTGGGGAGCCCAACGCTGTTGAGCATAACGCCGGAGTTTCAGAATTTGAGTGAGCAGTTTGGCCAGGCTGTCTGGAGACTCGGCGTGTCGGCTCAGCAGAGGAGGCCAGTTATCATCAGGTGTGAGAGAAACAGCTGTAAGAATTACATGAAGGAGCGGATCAAGTTTCATCCCCAGAACTTCTCCTTGGAAATCCAGGAGACCAGGCGAACGGACGCTGAGCTCTATGAATACACGGTGATCAAGGGCCCGGAGGAAGAGTCTTTGCATCTCCGGCTGGAAGTGTATGGTAATGAGCACCAACTTCGGAGGGCGGTTTGTGGGTCCCAGAGCTGGTCCAGCGCCTAGGAGAAAAGGCTCTTGCTATGTGAAAATGTTGCAGTTATTCCAGCCTCAGCCAGCAGGAGGTGCTGGAGAGCAGGGCAAGCATGCTGGCTGTGGGAAGGACTCCTGCCTCTTCCCGTCCCAGCCGCTCCCTGCAAGGGGTGCTGTGGAGACCCGGCTCTCCCCTCTCCAGCACCCAACAGCCCACCCCCTTTGGCACCACCCACCTACCCAGCACAGCCAGACACCCGGCACCTCGACAGCCAGCGCTTTGTGCAGGCCTGGCTTGAGACGCATAATTTGATGGTCACATTTTCCTAAATATGCAAATGAGTTTACACATAATCACGGAGCTGCGCCACACTCGGCAGCCAGGGACGGCCTTGGGGGAGCGTTTCCTGCCAGGGGACTGGGGCAGGTGTGGCGGGCTGTGCACCAGGACAGGACGGGAGCCAAGCCGGCCCCATTGTCCCCTCTGGGAGCCGGAGGAGGCCGGCAGCGTGTCGCTAGGGCTGCCAGTTCCACCCTCCCCCAGGTAACCAGTCCCTCTCCCCTTCCCCCCACCCCACAGAGCGGGTCTCTGTCCCCCACATCCAGGTGGTCAGCAGGACCCCGGGCAACGAGAGCTGCACCGTGACCCTGAGCTGCGGGGTGGAGCACGGGGACAACGTGACGTACACCTGGGACTGCAGCGAGGGAAAAGCCTCCCAGCAGTACCTGCACAACGGCAGCTTCATGCACCTCTCCCTCAGCCCGCAGAAAAGCAGCTTCACCTGCACGTGCAACACCAGCAACCCCGTCAGCTGGCAGGAAACCCACTTCAGCTCCTCGGTGGAGTGCAGCGACGAGCCAGGCGGTAAGAGGGGCTAGTCCTGGCCAAGGGCCGCTGGGCTGGTGGCTGCCGTGGCAATGGGGCTGGGTTGGTTCTAGGGCCCAGTCTGCAGCTGGTGTATATCAGCTGGGCCAGGCCTTGGCCCTCCATCCGTACCTTGCCTTGGGTCAGAGCCATCTCCTCCCTCGAGCCAGGGAGGGGCCCGTGTCTCTGAGCTCGGCACTGAGTCCTGGGGCCAGTCGGTTTGCCTTAAACTCGTGGGCTCTGCCCGAGATGTGGCCACTGAGATCCGCCACGAAGGAAGAGTTGGGACCTCGCAGAGGTGGAGACCAGGGGAAAGCGGGACTAGCTCAAAGGGCCCATTTCAGCAGCCAGAGGCGAGGTCTGGTCTGGTCCTAAGCCCCCGAAACTTCATTTTCACACATCACGTAGTCAACCTGTGGAACTCCCTGCCAGAGGAGGTTGTGAATACTTGGACTTTAACTGGGTTCGAAAAAGAGTGAGATAAGTCCATGGAGGTTCCCTCCATCAATGGCTATTAGCCAGGCTGGGCAGGAATGGTGTCCTGGCCTCTGTGTGTCAGTCTGGGAATGGGCGACCGGGGAGGGATCCCTGGATGATCCCTGTTCTGTTCCCCCCCTCTGGGGCACCTGCCATTGGCTGGTGGGGGC